GCTCCCTGGAGCAGTGGAACTTGACCTGAGATATAATGGTCACTCGTAGTACTCCCTTTGAACCAATGAGATGATACGCAGACTCAAAGGCGCTTCATACTGTAGTGGCAGATAACTTAAGAGAAATCTAGCCGGTCACCTTTGGACTGGTCAGATATGTATCTCAGGGTGATTAAAATATTCAAAATTTAGAGAAATGTCAGTGCTCTAATGTCGCGGCCTGTTTCCGTACCAGTAAGAAATTATTTACTACAAATGCTTTACAGCAAAAATATTACATGTTCTTCACTTAGGAATGTTATATCATCACGTTTTTCATTATGACTCCTTTCATGGAACTGTATCCCGATGCTCCCTGACTCCGAGTCATGCCATTCTACCAACATAACGATGTGAGAGTATGAATTAGGAATTTGCCACATAGTCTCACAGTAGAGACATATCATCCTTCATAACGTCAATTATATCAAGCATTATGGGTATTACGGAGAGCCTTAAAAAAGTCTAGCGAATGGAAATGGGGCTGTTGCAGGGAGGTGACTCGCCAAGTTCTTTTGTGCATTTGATGTTGCGTCGTTAAAATATACTTGTGGATAAGAGATTGATGACGGTATCTGTGACTTAAATGCCCCTCAAAGCGCTCACGGGATGCTTGAATTTGACTAACAGTGTGAGGGGTTGGAGGGCTCTCTGCCAGAAAGCTGAGGACGAGGTATTCTTCTGCCTTCGTGGGGCGGACGGTGGTGATGGGTTCCATTTTACAATTACATATCAGAATTGCCCCTACTCTTAAGTACGCTGGGCTGCATGGAAATAGGCCCATTGTTCGCATAGCTAAAGGTCCCCAGTTGTCGGGCAGTCATCACTCGGCCATAAGCAGGCAAGTGCTCTTATACTCCGTCTCTGAATGTCCGAACGCTCTAACCCTGTAAATATGAAGTCGCTGAATTGTATTCGTGCGGCTATGCCGCTGGTAACAGGGCCCCGAGCTTGGATGGGCATAAAAAATCGACATTTCAATGGCTTGTGAATAATAAGGACTATCACTATTGTTCCTTCATCCACTTCAACGCGTTTTCCAGGTCTTCTTCCGGTGTACTAGCCCATATCCACTCCCACTGCCTTTGAATAGCAGGGCAGAGCGTTTCGTAGTGTTCTCCTTGTGGCCCATTGAACTCGTACATGCGTCCCGCGTCTCTTGATCCTTGCAGGACATGTGAAGCAAGTGGCCGCCTCATATGATCATATGCCCGTAGAGCTGTATCAATATTGTCTAATTGAGTATGGTGATCTCCTAATATTCCGGCCAACACATAAGCGTCCTAAGCTATATATAAATATTTGTGACAGCAACAGATAAGGTAGAATTACCTCTATCGCTTGTCCAGCACCAGCCCCTTGATGAGGAGTCATAGCATGAGCCTGAAATACGGCTAAGAAGGTCAAAAATTACTAGTAGCACGAGTCACTCACAGCATCGCCTAGAAGTGCCACTCTGCCGTCCACATAATTTGGGAGATGCTTCAACTGGTGCATCGCCCATTTTGTAGGACGCTCTATGCACTATACGGTGTTCTATCACCATCATGACAGATATCGAGCAATATTACACACATTTAGCATGTCAACCACCTCAGGTTCCCAGTTGGCATAGCAATCGAGGAGTTCTTGCTTAGAGACTTCAGTGACCCATGGACCGTCATACGCTGGTGCGCCCTCCTTTTCAGGCTCAGAAGCGAAGGTGACAACATTGACAATGCTACCCTGAGATATCGAATAGCTGACGACATGCTAAATAAGTGAATATCAGCATCATAAACATCAATAGAGAAAGCTTGCATTACTTACCTTGCTCTTTCCACAGTACTTTAAAAAGGGATATATTAAGTAAATATTCATATATTTACGTGAGTGGAAACTTACCATCATAGGCGATCTAATGGTGCGATGAGGACTTCCATCTGGACCTTTCGGCATTTTATCCACAGGTATAAGGCCTCTGTACGCGATGGTCCCACTGAAAAAGGGATCTATCAAATCCAGTAAATCCGGATTTCCTTTAGTAGAAGCTATATGTTTCAGCATCTCAGCGCGAACCATGGACTTGACGCCGTCAGCACCAACAAGTACATCACACTCCGCAGTGCTCCCGTCGTTGAAATGAAGGGTAATAGGATCTCCAGGCGTATCTTGTTCATACGATTTCACTCGCTTGCGGAAATGAGCCACGCCAGTGGGGAGATGATTGACGAATACGTCAAGGAATTCTGCGCGATGAAAGCGAATACAACCATCTTTAAAAATCAATAAATTGCCAATTCTCCTGAGACTATTTAAAACAGACATACACGGCATTTCTGCAAGGAGAAAACGTTCCCCGATTGAAGCTTGATCAGACCTTCGGAAATCAAAGCCAATGCCTAGCAAGTAATTTTAAATTGGACGTCAGGATCTGTCCATCCGATGTGAAACCTTACCTAGCGCAGAACTGGGAGGTGCATGAGCTATTTTGGAAGCTTCGTCTGCGAGATCGAGTAATTCTAATATCCTCCATGTCTTTCCCCAAATCATAACGCCAGCTCCAATCTCCTTGAACTGTTCAGCAGCCTCATACACATCCACCCTGATATCTGGATACTGAGATAACGCCACGGCAAGGCATAAACCCCCTATTCCTCCTCCACTATTCCGGTCAAGTTTCAATATAGAATCTCAGATAAAGACCTCTTACCAGATACCAACGCGAAATTTGACAGAGTGATCAGAAGACATGAAAAGAGATATTGCAGCTAGTGAGTCTCAGAGCAGAATCGGCGACCTTACTTATAGTCTTAAGGAATCAACCAATCGTATTGTAAAATTACACGATCTTCCATTCGATAAGCCGATTTACAACAACCAAAAGTGCGACACATGGTCGCAGGCTTGTGGGAGAGAGCTTAATTCGGGCGCTAATTGCTGACGTAAACGCTTCTCAACTTCGACCTCAACCTCCGCCATGCCACCGAAAGCAGATATTAACAAAGCAGGATGTATGTATGTTTTTCATATATGTGACGGCGCAATACTGAAGTTCTGTATCTGTAGGGGAACAGAGCGAATTTCCGATTCTATGTGAAACATGTCAGTAACGGTTCGTTATGGCCTTTGGATAGATGCTGAAGGTTGTGTCTGATAGGTTTGGGTGACAATGCTTTCGTTCGCATGGTATGTGACTTCTTAGATGGCAACCACTCTTTTCCTAATACCTTATTGCATAGTCTAAGCAAGAGTTTGGTCGCGAATGCGGATCGTGCAATCGACCTTTTACTGTCTTCCGCTGGAATCCTGGTGCCGGCATGCGCACGAAGAAAACTGTGATTTGCCAGACATGTGCCAAGATAAAAAATGTTTGCCAGACATGTATCCTTGATTTGGAATACGGATTGCCCACTCAAGTGCGAGATACGGCGTTGGCATTGAAGAATGAGGCTCCAACGACGGATATCAACCGAGAATATTATTCGCAGAATATGGATGGGAAGGTGTGTAATCACCGGTTTTTAATATCTTTATTCTAATAATATAAATTAACAGCTAGACGGTAATAAGTCGGGGTTGGACTCCGGTCGGGCTGTGTCAGCAGGAAAGGATATGCTAAAACAACTGGCACGTTCTGAACCGTACTACAAGCGCAATCGCCCGCATGTTTGCTCGTTCTTCGTCAAAGGAGAGTGTAACCGTGGCGATGCATGTCCATTTAGGTACGTTATCTGAAAAATGGACTTATAAAAATGGGGTATATAAATAAATTTCTAGGCATGAGAAACCTGCAGATAATGGTCTTCAACATCAAAATATTCAAGATCGTTATCATGGTCGTAATGATCCAGTAGCGAAAAAGATAATGTCACAATATTCTGACTCACAAGGGTTGGCCCCTCCGGAAGATAAATCAATTGTGTGTATTCAGATCAGTGTTTCATCTATTTACCCACTCATAATTTCCTGTAGACCTCCTTATTCTTCTCATCATTACCCCCATCGACTAATGAACAAAATCTCCGAACTACTGTCGTTACTTCGATACCCTCTATCCCCGCATCTCAGATTAAGTCTGTTTTATATGTCGAGAAAACTAGGTATTTTAAGGGCCTTTCCTCCCTGTATTAATATCCCTTACTTACTATCAAAATAGATGTGCTTTCGTCAACTTCAAGGATCGTGCATCTGCGGAAACTGCAGCGCAGGCATGGGCTGCAGGCTTAGATGTAGAAGGCCAGCGAATTAGTATTCGATGGGGAAGGAGCAGACCGACTGCCAAAGGCAAGGCTCCCGAAAGTCAAGCCTCTCCTTTGGAAGCCAATGCATAAACAAAGCGTACTGGGTAATTGAACCTGTATATATTATTCTCCTGTTATTGTACTGTATACCTCCTTTCTCAGGATGTTGTGTTCAGATTCCGGCACAACAGAATCTGAAATATGATCCATGTATAATATGCATACATTTCGGGTGCTCGTATTTATTCTTTTTGAGATGCCATAAGGAAGTTCATGACCGCCAAAGTCTGGATAAAATGCGCGTCGTTGATACGGATGTAAGAGAGCGTACTCTTGGCTCTATACATAACGCTGATTTTCAGGGAGCTCTTTCTCATGAGCCATATTTCAGTGATGTTGGAGACATTGTAACCTAATTTGTTGGCAGACGCTTTACTCATCAATAGCCAATCCATCTTCCGTTAAGGGCGACTGGCAAACTCAATATCCATACCTGAAGACCTAATTTAGAAAAAGCTGCTATGCTCAGATATATTGCCTTTGAATCAGAAGTTCAATTCATACCGTATTGGTTAACGCAATAAATGAGTCAACGGCATAAGCATCCCCTTTCAGGTTGCCAGGTATTGTTCATAAACGAAAGGAATTGGTAGCTGGTTTGAATCGTACTAACTTGGGTAATGTGGAACTTCTCTGTCGACTCGTTTAGGATTCATCAGCATAGGGGGAAAAAGGAACTCTCCGGAGCCAGGATCGAACCAGCGACATTTAGATGACGATATCCATTACAATCTGACGCTCTTCCAAGCTGAGCTACCTAGAGTTGTTCGTAACAGAGTTACGTGTAGAGTATCGCAGCGGGGCTTTCGGCCAACTTAGGCGAGTCTAAGTCTTTGCGATTCGAATTTTTTTTTAGTGAGCCAGAATTAGAGCAAAACCAATTATTCAGACGCATGGCTTTCATTATCTTCATTCATGGACAGTCGCACTTGGTTATCAATAATGGGTTCGGTGCAGCGCGGCGCTGAGGGCTTTGATCGAAACCAGATTCCTGGGCCCAGGCATCATTGGATTTCTTGTGATCGAGTACTACAGTAAACCCCCCAACGGTCGATTACTAATTTCTTTTTGAAGATATAGCTTCTAATATGTGAAGAAATCATTGTAGTCAATAAGTACATGCTCCGTGTGTTTCCAATATCTCGAAATAACAAATTCTATAACTTAGCCTTGACCGTCCCGCTAACGTGGTGTTCCTTCTTGGCCAGCTCTCTCAAATCCTTCCTGAGAATCTTCCCAGCCGCACTAGTGATAAAAAAAAGTCAACAATCTACCTCGTACAAGGAAGTGACAGTGCGAAGGTATTACCTTTTAGGAATCGTGTCAAGTAGCACAACGCCTAATTAATTAATAAGCACGCGTGTTCGCATCAAGAAGAATCTGGGATCATACCACCACGCAAATATTTATGCTTGGCCACTTTCGTCTGAATCCAGGATTGGATGGCATGGGAGAAAGCGTCTTTCTCTGCTACCGTCTTAAATGCAGCGACGCCTCCGCGGGGAACAACATATGCTCTGAAGTAACATAATTTATTAAGCACCCCGGAGTTCAATTCGTCCTAGAATGTGAGTACGTACCTCGGTAACTCTGTTGCTTCAACCTCCGAATGAACACCAATGACACCAGCATCGAGGACATCAGGGTGAGTGAGAAGCACGGCTTCCAGGTCGGCGGGAGGCACTGTGGAAACAATTTTGTCGCTGTTTATATTTGTTTGTGCGATACCACTAACCTTGGAATCCCTAGAATTTCGACACGGTTGTTAATATCAAAATTTACTCCCAATGTATAAATTAAAATATACCTTATATTTGATCAATTCCTTCTTCCTGTCAACTATTTGGAAGAAATTATCTTTGTCAACGATCGCGACATCGCCAGTCTTGAACCAGCCATCGGGAGTGATAGCGTCCCGTGTAGCTTTCGGATTGTTCAAATAACCCTAGAGCCAATTTATCAACAAATTCAGCTATGGCAAAAAGTGGCAGAGCACACAACACACTTTCATGACATTCGGGCCCTTGATCCAAATTTCGCCAGGCTCACCCTCAGGAGCATCAGTCTCATCGTCCAATACAAGCCGTGCTTGTACATTGGAGAGAAGAGTACCGATCGTACCGGGCTTGTTTATCCAATCGTAGGTATCTTGCATGATACATGTTGGGCTGGTCTCCGTCAAGCCCCATCCTGAGTATCAAATCTTAAAATCAGATAAAATGGCCAGAGTGCCTGCCGGAAATAACACCCACCTTGAGGAAAGTTGCAATCGACGCCCAATTTCTTTAAACGGGCACCGACCTTAGATGTTAAGCCTTCACCTAGAGGCGCTGCACCGGAGAAAAGGATTCTGAGGCTTCTCATATCATAATTCTCAGGAGCTATTTCCCCCTGATGTTAGATAGCCCGGGAAAGCGTAAAACAGTTGGCTTACCAGGATGATTTGCAAGAACGACCAGGATAGGAGGAACGATTAGGGCACAAGTGATCTTATATTTCTGGACATATGCGCAGAAGTCTTCAGGATTGAATTGGGACATAACAACTTGAGGGGCTCCAAGGAAGAAAGGAACCAAGACGAGCTTAGTGAGACCATAAATGTGGAACTAATATATATTTCAATATCGAAAAATAAAAATAAAAATAAAAATAAAAATATTACGTACGAATGGTAAAACGCTAAGCATGCAGTCAGAATGATTCGGTCTTAAAAACGTGTTAAACCGGGGCCCAACCATGGCAATAACGCTGTTAATATTCTTATGCGTAAGCTAAGAAATAGATGTAAGGTCCGAATGAGAATTATAGCCACTATAGGTCACTCACTTCGACGCCCTTCGACTTGGAGGTAGTACCAGAAGAGTAGCAAATCATGACGGTCTCATGTGAGAGGGGACCATCGAAATTCTCCTCCTTTTGCAATTGGCCATTTCCCAGAAGTTCATCATATCGCTTCAGCCCTTTTAGTTTGGGATCTGCCATTAACGTAGCAGGGCCGACCAAAATGATACGCTTTCTGATTTCAGCATCGCTCACTTTCATTAGCTTCAGTGTGGCGTGCGCATTGCCAACCAATGCTGGATGGGTGAATACATAGTATGCGCCGCTGTCCTGAGAAATAATCAGTCTCAGACGAACGGGAAATCAAAATATAGATTCACCTGAAGCTGATGCAACAACTCAGGGGGTGTATAAGAGCTATTTACAGTCGTTATCCGCATTCCTGCTGCGATACCTCCCAGGAGCGCAATGGGCCATTGGACTGAGTTAGGGGAGAATATGGCCATGATATCTCCTCGCTTTTGACCCAAGATATTCCTCAATCCCCAACCAAATTCCAGACTCAACTTGCGCACATCCCCTCTTGTCAGTGTGAATCCCGTGGGTGCATCAATATATGCCGGCAAGCTAGAATTATAATTATTCGAGAAGACTTGGGTGAAAATTGAACGTTCTGGGATTGGGATGTAAGGATTGGTTGAGCGATAGATTCGGGGCATGGTGGGCTCAGTGGGAGATTGACATTGCTTGAATTTGACTACTTATACTAGTTAAGGAGATCATGTGATGGGACCGAGCGAGATCCAGCGACGGTCGGCAATAGTCGGTAATCTGCTGAGCCGGTCGCTTCGATCGGGAGCGCATGGGAACACTTGGATATGCCTTAAAGTTAGACGTTTACCAATATTCATGACAACAAAAAAAAGTAACGGGATATATATAAGGAATGTAATATTCTCTATTAATCCGTGACGTAATGCAATTACAACAATGATTGGTCTTTCCGAAAGAAGCAACTTTCCGCCGGTATCCTGCGGACGCACAATGGCCGAGCAGTCATCTACACGGCCAAACATCCAATGTCTGGATTCCAGACTTCCGATCCCTAAGCGCCCATTCCCCTTGCTTTCACTTTTCAATGCGTCGTTTTCCAGCTGGTTAGAGCGCTTCGCTCGATCGGTAATTTGGCCACTACGCATTTCATAGTGGCATTTCAGTCGGTCCATCGATCGGTGACTCCAAAAAATCTTCGGAAGTCAAACGAGTCAAGGCCCATCTGCTGTTACTAAGGTTCTTGTAGGCTTGCATGTACATGTTATACAGATACAATATTGTTCTTCATACCTTCATTGGTCTGGGTATTACTGGATAGTTTGACGTCATAAAGAGTCACCTACCACCCTCCGTACCTGTATATAGACTCCCATGATAAGTTTTATAATAGATCAGATGGACTAATCTGTAGCACTTCAACTTACATTTGTTAGTTTTTCGTTAGTCTCAAGTTCGATTTTCCACATATCCAATTTTTTTGGTCCTTAAGTACCACCTGCACTGAGTAGACTCGATCACTGTGATCGTGAGTGATCGATAGGTGTCCCGTCTATGCAAAAGCAGGTATATTGATACTGGCTGCCCTTCTGGTCCTTCATGGTCTTCCTACTCCAACACGGCCGCGTTACCGAGGGATACTTGATAGGACGGTCATGCGAGATAGAAGCGGCACCAGGGATATCAAACAGCAGACGGCAACTAGCTCGTCCCTTGGTTATGCTCAATATACGTGGCCTTGGGCGAAGGAGACAAATAGCCTACGCACAGGACCGCCTGCTCCTTTTATCCACACGATCAGACCATCTAACTAACCTATCCTTGTGGTATCAACATTTCATTACGACCATCCCCCTCCGGATTGGCATGTTGCTTCAAAGCGTTACCAACATTAGGGTCGGCACCGGTTCCAGGGCTTACCTTAGGTGGACTCGTATTTAAACCAACGAAACAATGAGATGCCGGGTTGGGAATCGTTATATCGAGCTAGTTTTCCCCGATGGGTGTAACAGGCAAGAAGGAAATACCGACATCGCCATAAGGTAGCGGATTCTAGGTAGGCTCGATAGGTAGGAAGATCGCCTAGACTCTTGTACTACTGGATTCAAGTACTGCTGCTGCTGGGCTGTGGCCATGTTCATTGAACGCTCATTGTGGATCGGGATCCCGCGTCGCGCACGATTCTCGTCTCGACACGAGAGATTAGCTGCAGTTGCCCGTGCAGTACCTGGACCCTCAGAGACATATGTACGTATGATCACTCCTGACTACTAGTATACTTGGGGATACTAACGCGGACTTTGCTCAGGAATAAGAGTGGATGGAGGTTGTCGAATGGACTCTTATGGGTGTGGCGGACTCCGGATTCAGATGCGGGACGACTGCGATACGAAATTGATTGATATGCTCCTGCCAATAGAAGCGGGCATTATCATGTACGAAAAATATGCAGAGGATAGGAGGGATAAACATGGAGCAAAAGAGCAAAGAAGGAAAAGAGGAGGGGCCTATTGCAAAGAAGGGAAACGAACGAAAGACGCAGGACTAACGAAGACGACTCCTCAAGCCCCCTATATCCTCCCTGTATTGTCCACATCCAACTTGCCATATGGGAAGGAAGTCGACCCTCAACTCAAAGCGGGCATTCCCTACGTCCACATGTAGCCGCTACGTTGTAGGCTCAAGCTTGGAAAAAGATTCGCGTCCAGTGTGGAAGGGTAGCGTAGTGCCAAAATACAAAATACAAGGTATATTGCAGACTCTAGAGAGTTGGCTGAAGTGGATGGGAAGAGATATTGTTGAAGCTAAAGCTTTGAACGGAAGGTGAAGACATCACCACATGGACGCTGGCCGGCAAGAGCGATCTACTTCCTTCTTAGACGGCAACTGGCGTTGGTCTTCACCCTAACGCACGCTGTATTTCTTTATTCG